ATTACCTTGACATGGACGTTTTGGAGCAGAAGGACGTCGTGATACAGGTGCCTGTTGAGGTTGCTGTTGACAAGTCAAAGAAGTCAGAGGAGGAATTGGCTAAACAGGCCGAGAGAAGAAGAGAACAGGGAAGGAGACTTCAAGAACAAGCCAGAAAGAAGCGCTTGGAAAAGCTTATACAAAAGGAGCAGGAGTTCGAATATTACAGTCAGCTCAAGGACACACTTAGTCTGTTGAGTAAATCTGAGGCTGACAGAAGATCCCAGAGTGAGGATTTCAAAGACTTCAATGAGTTCAACAAATATGTCGACAACTTGGAGAAGTCCTTGAGGAAAGCTAGATCGCAAGACGTGGACGATGGAACTGAGGATGATGTGCCAAATCCAGAGGAAGCCTGGCCATTGGTCCTGATCCCTGATGAAAATCTCTCCGAGGAACAGATCAAGGATAAAAGGCGCCAGAAGCTCTTGAAGGCTAACTATGACGCAAGAATGCGTGCAAAGGAAGAAAAGAAGAGGGAGGAAGAGGAGAAAGCACAGTTCGAAAAAGAGCAAGAAGAATGGAGAGAGAGGGACTTGGACGGTTGGTGCACATCTAAGAGACTCGAGTTGGCCCAACTCATTGCAGGCTACAAGAAGAGAATTAAGCTTCAAGAAGCCATGAAGGACAGAAAATCCATGGCGGCCCAACAGAGAATGAAGAACATTGCCGACTTGGCGAACGACAGTGCTGCCAATGGAAGAAAAAGGCGGAAGAATGTTGCGTCTGCTACAATTGATAATGACCCTAATGATACCTTTGGAGCTAATGATGATGATTGGAACGCATACAGAGATATTAGCAATGCCAACCTAGAGGAGGAGCAAGAAGAAGCCACCACCGCCATCTCTGCTTTGGAGGAGGAGTTGATGAAACATGACCCTAACTTCCATTACGAGGATACTCTTGCTGCTTCCGAGACCTTTGACTGGAGAAATTCCGTGCTCCACAAGTTCATCCATGGACCACGCCAGTCACTTACATTGGCGATGCAAGCAGAGGGACACGATCCTCAAGAACTTGCAAACCACCCTGAAATTATACGGCGCAACCATCAGCTCCATATTAATGTGGAGCGTATCAGAGTGCCAGAGATCTATTTCCAACCTCACATTGCCGGCCTTGATCTGGCAGGTATTCCTGAGGTCGTCCAAAACTTGCTTTACAGAAACTTTGACGGGAATTTCGGTGTTGGCGGTCAGCTGAGATCGCTTGTCGAGAACGTTTTTGTCACTGGCGGTGGTTCATTGGTTCCAAATTTCACCGACAGGCTCAGGGCTGAAATCCAGAGCTTCCTTCCTGTTGGTACCCCATTTAATGTTACTCATGCCAGAGATCCAATTGGTGACTCCTGGAGAGGTATGCAAAAATGGGCAGCATCGGCGGAATCACAGAACAGCTATGTCAGCCGACAAGAGTACGAGGAGTACGGTGCCGAATACATCAAGGAACACGGCCTTGGTAACATCAGTCTCCGAAACTTCTAATTACAAAAATGCATTCTTTACTCAAAAATTCTATGATACATAACTCCAGCAATGCTCTATTTTTTCGTGTTTGGGTTCAAACCCTTCCTCTTCATGCCTCTCTTGATGGCCTTGTCCAACAACTCCTTATCCTCTTCGTCATTGAACTCAGCAAAGTCGTCGTGAATGATACCTTCCTCCTCGGCCTCGGATCTAGCCAAAGACTCCTTCTCCTTAGCGCCAGCCTTAGAGACATCGTGAGGCGAAGAAGCGATTTTCTTGAACTTGGCCACAAAGAAACCATCAACGTTGTAAGTGTGAGGGTAGTAACGTCTGGTCATCGAAAGCGAGTTGTTGAAGTGCTTGCCTCTGAAAGAAGTGAAACCCTCCTTACCAATCTGCAAGCCTGTTTCCACCAACTTGACGTTGGGTCTCTTTCTCAATGCATAGTCCACAACAGCTTCGTTCTCGTCCACAGCCACAGAACATGTAGAGTAGACAATGACACCGCCAGTCTTGGAGTGGGCATCGACAGAGTCAATGGCACTCAACAACAACTGCTTCTGGAGGTGAGGAATCTGAATAAAGTCCTTTTCGTTTCTGTTCACCTTGACAGACTCGTCCTTGGCGATAACACCAGTACCAGAACAAGGAGCGTCCAAAAGAATCCTGTCGAAACCGCCAATGACCTTGGGGAACTCACGAGCATCGTAGTTACAGACAATGGTGTTTCTGCATCCCAATCTCTGGATGTTAGCCACAAGCGACTTGGTTCTGGCCTTGTTGGCATCGTTGGCGAAAACACACCCGGTATTCTTCATCAACGCAGAAATGTAGGTGGTTTTACCACCGGGAGCGGCAGCCATATCAAGCACACGCTCGTTTTCTTGTGGGTCCAAGGCCATCACAGGCAAGAAAGATGAGGCAGCCTGCAAGATATACTGACCAGCCAAGTACTCTGGAGTGGCACCAATAGGAACCTGAGAGTCGAAGATCTGCAAACCGACCTTGGTCCATTTTCCAATTGGTTGAAGGTTGACACCTCTGTTGACCAATGTCTGGGCCAAGTCTCTTCTTCTGGCCTTCAAGGTGTTGGTTCTGATAGTGACTGGTCTAGCGACCTCGTTGGCCTCGAAGAACTCCATGGCTTCGGCAGGCGAGAACAAGTCGTAAAGCTTCTCGGCCAAAAACTCAGAGTACCCAAAGTACTCACAGATGTCCTTGAGGAAACGAGAGGTGTAGTCAGCACGAGACTTACCCTCTTCAGCCAACTCCTTGAAGTTCTCCAAAACCTTGACAATTTCAAGCATTCTGGTTCTGACAGCAGTCACATCGGTGGGCTGCTTGGCCAACTCCTCCTCTTCAGCCTCAGTAGGCAACACCTTGGCTCTAGGTTGAACAGCACCTTGCACCAACTCAAGCTCGGCCTCCTCAGCCTCAGCCTCGTCCTCCTCGTCAAGCTTTTTGGACAATGCCTCCATGTTGGCGGCGTTCAAGTCCTCAAGATCGTCTTCGTCGTCAGAGAATCTGGGTCTCTCTCTGCCTTCTTCATCTGAATCAAAGTCATCATCCATGTCAGCCTCGTCAAACTCGTCCTCTGGGAACTCGTCAGCTGGAACTTCGTCATCCTCATCGTCATCAAAAAGCAGCTTCTTGGCCAGGTTAAGCTGTTCAAGGTCAACCTCAGGAAGTTCAACCTCTTCCTCCTCCTCAACAGGTTCCTTCTTGCTTCTCTTCAGCTTCTTCTCCTTCACAGGCTGCTGCTTTCTCTTCTGGGGCTTGTTCTTGATATCTTCGCCTTGAAGCTCTTCGAGCGTGGGCGGCATGCCCTGCTTGTTTTTCGCTCTCCGTCCCATCCTAGCTAAAAAGTGGTATCTGACTTTTGAGATGCCCTCGATGCGATGCGAAAAATTGCATCGCTCCTCCACAAAGTAGAACAAGTACCATGAAGAGCAGAACCACGATTACGCCAGGGCAGCATGCCTTGATTCGATTGCCTTCGGAGGGGCTTAGAATTGTGCTTTTACGGGAGGAAGGCACCATCTCGTTGGGAAAATTCGGTGCTTTCAAAGTGAGCTCCATCTTGGGACACCCATTTGGCACCACTTTTGAGGTGAGAGATGAGCAAGAGGCTGTTCCAATTAAGTCGTTGACAAGCCAGGAGGACAAGGTTGAAGTGGAAAACGAGGAGGACGAAGTTTCTGAAAAAGAGGCCCTCATCAAGTACTTTGAGAAGTCCGCTGAGAACAACCAGGACATCATCAATGTGGGGCTGAAAATCCAGAAACTCGATAACAAGCAGATCGACGATTTGAAGAAGCTGGGAGCCTCCAGTGAGATCGGACAAAAGATTATTGAACAGATCATCGCCGGCCATGCGGCGTTCGATAAGAAAACCGTCTTCTCTCAGCAGAAGTACTTGAGAAGAAAGCAGATGAAGTTCTTGCGCCGTTTCCAGGTGGAGTACCTTGGAAGCTCTCAGCTCCTCCAGTATTTCATTGAAAAAGATATGCAAAAAGTGTTGGATATGAGCGAAGAAACTCTCGGGCTTTTGCTCAGTTACGCCAATGTGCGTCCAGGCGGAAGATATCTCGTCTTGGACGACACCTCCGGTGTTGTTGTCTATGCTATGATGGAGAGAATGCAAGGAAGAGGCCAGATTATGCTAGTTCACGAGAACGAGCATGCCAACTTGGCTGCGTTAAGATACCTGGACTACCCTGAAGAGCTTCAGGAACAAATGATCACCCCCCTCAGCTGGCTCCAGTTCCTTGAGCCCGAGGACGAAAAGATAGAATGGCTGGATCTTCCTCAGGAGGAGATCGATGCATTGAAGCCAAACAAGAGATTGCAGTACCACAGAAGACTGAAGAAAGCCGCAGATATCAACAAAGCTTTGGACTCGGTGCTTCATGGAAACTTCGACGCTTTGGTCTCGTGCTCTACGTTGAGCATTCCGTCATTTTTGCCCCATGTCATCGAGAGAGTCGGCGGCTCAAGGCCGTTGGTCTTCTACAGCACATTCAAGGAGATGCTCCTAGAAGCCCAACACGAGCTCACGAAAGACAAGCGTGTTTTGGCGCCATCCATATTTGAAACCCGTGCCAGAGTGTACCAGACAATCCAAGGTCGTTTGCACCCTCTCATGACGTCCAGAGGTTACGGTGGATATGTTCTTTGGGCAACCAGGGTTATTCCTGCTGGAGGACACATTCAAGCTGTCGGCAAGGGTTCCAGAAAAAAGGCCAAGCAGGAGGTTCTGGAGAAGGAGGAGCCTGCCAAAGAAGCGCCAGCAAAGGAAGAAGGCGACGCCATGGACACGAACTAATCATAGAGGCGGTCCCGAGGGACTCCTCCACCCATATATGCATCGAAGGTTCCCAGCAGAATCCTTCCACGTTGCTGTTTCCCACCCAGGTTGGAGAAGCAGCTTTGTATAATCCGCTTGGTCCTCGTAGCCAAGCTCAAATACGAAAGCATTACACTGCAGGGGCTTCACGACGTTCTCGACTAAAGCTTTGTAAAACTCTAGATGTCCTACTAACGCCATTCTTGGTTCGTATAGCTTCACCGATCTCTCCGTTCCATTGGCAGACACGGGCGCCTCGTAGTCTTCTTTTGGAATGTACGGTGGATTCGACACCACAAGATCGAACGGTTTATGGAAATGCGTACTGTAGAACTTGTCTTGTAGGACATCACCCTTGTGGATCTCCACATCTAACTTCAAACTTTCCTTGTTTTCTTCGGCCAATGCAATTGCATCATCTGATAAGTCCACGGCTGTTACCTGTCCGCCAATATGGTGCTTGAGTAGTAAAGCTACACAGCCTGAACCGGTGCAGACATCAAGCACACTCAACTTTTTACCGTTGGCCTTTTCTGCCACCTTTATCGCCCATTCTTCCGTTTCCCATCTCGGTATAAGCACGTTTCTGCGGCATTTGATATCTAATGGTCCAAACGGCTGAGACCCTAGGATGTATTGAAGAGGTTCGAGTTGACCTCGTCTGATTATGGCGTTTCTCCACTGCAGAGACGGTAGTTCATTCTGGATCCACCGTAGTTCGTTCTTAGCTTGTTCAAGGCTTTTAGTAGCGTGAAGGAGCGGCGCTAGAAGCTTATTGTGGTATGTTGCACGGACCTGAGAGAAACTCACTCGAGGCATCTCTCATTGATTTTGATGAGATTGAGGTGATTGAGTGGTCAGCAATTATGTAGTCGTTCTGGAAGCTGACAATGTCTTGTTTCTGTTACCGATGGTGGGATACTATCCTCAAAGTGTATTTAGCGTAATGGATGTAGTTGATGTATGGAAATGGCTGCGAAAGATGTCGCAGTAAGACCATCACCAATTCCACCAAGCCTCAGTACATCCAATCCTTTTCTACAGCTCAATTACCTTTGACTTTTTATATTTACAAGTGGTTCCGGCTCTATTACATTCCCTTTCTGGCGTAGTACAAGAAAGCTCTCTCGTGGGTGGGAAGACCATAAGGAGAAATCACCTCGGAGTGGCCTGGTCTGGCAACAGGGTCTGCCAAGTAAACAGCATGACATGTCTCGAACGAGATTTCAAGGTGGTGAGGCAACACCGCAAAGGCTCCGAGGAACTGTCTGGGTGTCCATGGCGAGAAGTATGGCTTCGATGGGTCCTGACGGCCGAAAAGACCCTTTTGCCAGGGCAAATTAACCTTAGCAGTGCTCTCATCCTCAAGAATAGCATCCTTGTCCAACTTGGCGTGAGTCTTCAACTTCTTAGCGAAGTCTGGGCTATAAGGCATGGAGATGGAGCCCTCGGGAATCTTGGAGTTCTCGCAGTTGATACGGAGGAACTCCAAATGGGAGCTGAGAACTTCCAGCAAAATCTTCTTGGCCTGAGAGGCAATCCTGGCCTCGTCCTTGCTCTTGAATTCGGTGGACTTGGTGGAGATGTACTTCTTGCAATCTTCCACAGAAGTCTTGCCAACGACGGAAGCCTCGGCCTCCTTCAAGATCTTGTATGCGTTCAAAGCCTTGGAGGCATCGTCTCTGTTGGGAAGTATGCTCTTGAAGGCCTCAGGTTGGAGTTCCTCCACTGGCTTGTTAGCAGCCACCGTCAAGATCTTAGACAAGATAGACTCTCTGGTGGTTTTTCTCTGTTCCTCGAGCATAGCTTTTTCAAGACCCTCATTGTACGACTTGGCGGAGACAGTCTTGGAAGCGGCCTGGTCGTTCAAGGTGTTCAAGGTGGGAGGCTTGTTCTGCTTCAATTCCCAAACTTCCTTAGGATGCTGCTTGGCTGTCTTGACGTAGTTGTTCCAAGCACCAATCTGCTTTTTGTCGACTTTAACAGCCTGTTCCAAACTAGGCTTGACTCTGCCCATGGCTAGAAGAGCCTTCTCTGGGTTAATGCTGAAGATATCTCCACTGCTCAAAGGAAAAGACAGGTGCTTCATCACCACACCGTTCACCTTCACGTGGCCACCTTTGATGAACTCACGAGCCTGTCTGACGGACGAGGCGAACATGGCTCTGAAAAGAGCCACTTCAAGTCTCTTCTCCAAAGTAGCATATGTCTGCATGGCATTAGGCGTGAAGTTGACCTTCTTACCCTGCAAAGAAGCATCCAACTGGGCCACGGAATTAAGGTTTGGCTTGAAAACGGCCTTCCAGCGCTTTTCTCCCAAGTGCTCTCCGTGGTAGGCTCTGGTTTCCTGCTTGGCTTTCCATTTTTGCTGGTACAATGTCTGTTGGTTGTACTTGGTGGGGCCCTTTTTGAACAAGTTGAAAAGATTGCCCTTGTTCATAGAAGCACGGACGCGCCCCCTCGTGGCCGAGAGGAGGTTATGGGCTCTTCTGGGCATGGTCTTGGGGTTATACTTGTGGACTAGAGATCTGAAAAAATGGAGGAAAAGTGTGCGCAGTCCATAGAATCAGTCTTCGCGGTGGAGAAGCTCCATGAGATGGTTCCATGAAATGTGGGATATCTCTGATCAATGAATACTTGGATGATGAATTGGTTTGAATGTAAATGTAGAACTTTGGAAAAACCATCAAATTGTTCGTACTTTACTAGAATTCTGAATCGATAGTATGGCTGCGAGGTATGGCTGCGAAAGCTGATGTAGAATACAACAAAAGGTATTCTCCGACTTGTGAATTACGTGAAAAAAAAAAATACAGTATGAGCTTGTCACTTTTTACCATTTGGTCCATTCCTTTCCCTTTAGGTCTACTTCCCAGGGACTGGCCTTCCTCAACTTCTATCACCTTCCCCATGGACCACCACTGGCAATCATAGTCAGTCCTCAAACACACAAAATCAAAAATCTTTCAAAGATCAAGCACTTCCATTAAAAAACCCACCCTTTTCTGGTTTCATCAAAAAGGCTCAATTGCTTACTTGTTCAACCAAACTCACCTTCAATCTGGTCGCATTGTAGATACACCTTCAGTGTGCGAACATACAACATCAACAGAGTACCATGACTGAAGCGTGGCCTGTGGAGATCGAGGTGCGCCTATTTAGCCTAGTATGCGACTTCAAACCAGCTGGGGAAAAGAAGGACGAACACATGGCTCAAATTGTGGAGAACATCAACAAAGATATACCTGAAGACAGCCGCTATAGCTCTGACCAAGTGTGGGAGAAGCTAGGCAGTTTCTACAATTTGGCGCAAGTGGAGGCCATAGAAAACGAGACGGAGAAAAACGAAGACGAGGAGGAGCCAGAAAAACCAGCCAAACCTGAGAGAAAGACGCGAAGAGGAAGAGAAGAAACTAAAGAGCCCAACGATCCAGGTATATACTCGCTGGAGCTTAGCGACGTCGAGGCCGAAATGCCCGAGGATGACGATATATTGAAGGTCAGAACAAAGTCCAGAACGAGGAAGCGGACGCCCAAGCGTGAGGACCCAAAGAAGGAGAAGAAGGACGATGAGAAGAAGGAGGAGAAGAAAGAAGAGAAGAAGGAAGAGAAGGTGGAAGAACCTCCGCTGAGAAAACGTACGAGATCCAATGCCAAAATAGAAGATGCTCCAGCGCCAAAGAGACGGTCGAGAGCCAATACGCCGCCGGTAAAACGCAGAATGCGTTCTGGAAAGGACGACGACGACACGAAGGAGGACGAAAAGGATACACAAGACGAAAAGGATGAGAAGAAGGACGACAAGAAGGAAGACAAGAAGGAGAAGAAGGACGATAAGCAAGAGGAGAAGCAGGAGGAAGCAAAGGCTGAAGAGCCGGAGGAGCCCAAGAAGAGAACCCGTACAGCCGTTCGCCGTTCCACGAGAAGGAAGTGATTCTGTGGCGCTCCACAAATGCCGATTCGTTATGGCCGCTGTTTATTTCTATCTGGGGTACGTGCTCCCCATATGTACAGTGGTCGTCAGCTGGGTCTTATGGCCCACATCAAGACAAGCAACTATTGCCCCTGACATCTAGTCACGGGCCAACGAAGGCAACTGGCCTCATCATATGCTTCAGACAGTCTATCTATTGGATCGTGCCCACCAGGCCCGCACAGCAGGAACAGCCGTTGTCGTGATCAGAGTCAGACTCATAGTCCAGGTCACCGTCAAGCTCGGCATTTTGCTGATCCAAAAGCTTCCAGTCAATCTTAGGTTTCTGCGAGTCCTGCTCGCTCTGCTTCTTGGCTTCGTCGGCTGCCGCTGCCGTTTGGCCGTTTTGTGAAGACATGTTTCGATGTTACCCCAGTGGTGAAAAATCGCGGTGACCCATATCGATGAGATATGGCGCCGCAGCACTTAATAGATCCCGCCAATTCTCGTAATCTAGATAAAATAGGGTAAAACTTTTAAAATTCAAACTTTTCCGAGATAGAAAAATTCCGTGTAGTTCTTTAATTCTTAGGATGTTTGGTCCTCGGCTGACTCCAGTTCTCTACGGCAAAGTTAATTATAATACCCATTATTCCTATTAATTTCTACCTCATAACTCATGCAAATGCGCCTTGCGCTTAAGACAAAATGTCCCAGAACTTCTCCCAAAGGTTCTTTGGAGGAGTCTCGTCCCACACCATCTCGTCAATCTCTCTGACACCAGACTCAATGTCACACTCGTCAGAAGGAATGAGCAACGAGCGGAGAGTGAAGGCGTGTCTGGTGAAGCCGTTGAAGTAAAAGTGAGCAGCGATCCACACAGCGAAGAAAAGAATCACGGAGACGTATGCGGTGAAGAACTTGCTGGCGGTGATGTCAAAGAAACTCTCGTAACCCTGGACGAAAACAAGAATGAAGCCCAAAGCGAAGGCGTAGTAGGCAATGTATGGCATGCCCCAGGCCTTGAAAGGCAAGATATCTCTGGAGATATTTCTCTTGTGGAGGATCCACATGAAACGGATGTGGGAGAACGAAATGTTGACCCAGGCGATAAGACCAGCCACAGCGGTGATGTTCAACAACCAGTCAAACACCTCGTTACCACTGTTGTCAAGAACAAGGTAACCCAAGGCACCAAAAGCAGCAGTGAAAAGAACAGCCACGTAAGGGATACCCTTTGAAGTAGTGAGCTTGAACCACTTTGGAGCAGCATTGACGTGGGCCAAACCGTACAAGATTCTGGAACCACAGTAGACGTTGGAAATACCAGCGGAGGTGATGGCAGTAAGGATCACTGCATTGAAAATGCTGGGCAAGATGTCAGTTCCTGAGTTGTGCATAGCCACAATGAATGGGGAAGAAGCAGCGAAGTACTCATCAGAGTCCAACTTAGGGTCGTTGTAAGGAATCAACAAACCCATGAAGAACATGGACAAGATGTAGAAGATGATGATACGCCAGATGACCTTACGGATGGCGGAGGGAACAGCCTTTCTTGGGTTGGCCGACTCACCACAGGAGATACCAACCAACTCCACACCCTGGAAGGTGAAGAGGGCGGAGATGAGGGAAGACAACCAGGCCAAGAATCTGTCAGTGTTCAAGTTGCTGACCAAGCCCTGACCCAGACCCCAAGGACCTGGGTTTCTCCAGTACCTGAAGCCCACAGGGCCTGTCTGACCAGCACCGCAGACCATGCAAAGAGCGTAGATGAGCCAGCCCACCACGGCAAGAATCTTGATAGAAGCGATCCAGAACTCAAGCTCACCGTAGTACTTGACGGGGAACATGTTGAAGGCGGTGATGAGCACCCAGAAGATGGTGATCCAGGCGGCCAATGGCACGGCGTCGGTCCAGAACTGGATAATCTGGCCCACGACGGACACCTCCAAGGCGAAAGTGATGGCCCAGGAGAACCAGTAGTTCCAGCCGTTGGCCACACCCAAAGCTGGGGAGCAGAACCTGGTGCAGAACTGGGTGAAGGATCCAGAGCAGGGAATGTAGGTGGCCATCTCACCCAAGCTCTGGGTGACGGACCAGGCCAATGTGGTGATGAAGATGTAGGAAATAAGCGCCAACACAGGCCCGGCCTGGAGAGCGTTCTTGGAGGAGATGAAGAGACCCGTACCAATGGTACCACCCAAGGCGATCATGGAGATGTGTCTGGCCTTCAAGTTTCTCTTGACCTCGTGCTCAGGTACGAGCTCCAGGGAGTCGTCACGGAGGTAGTCGACATTTTTTTCCACGGACCCCAAGGTCTTTTCAGCGTCGGACATGGTGAAGTGTGATTGCAAGAAAAAGAGGAGGCCCAGAGGAGCATATTTAAACCCACTGGGAAGGAAATGGCCTGTCCTGCAGCCGGGATTGCGCTGACAGTTCGCTTTTACTTCGGTGCTTATCGAGCGAGAAACGCCGCTTCGCATCGCCGTGGCGCCCAGCCAAATCGCCTTCCGCGCCATCGCTTTCTGCCCAAACCGCCTGCCCTAACCCAGCACTCGCCTGCCGCCCAGACAACATGTCGCCAGCTCCTGCAAAAAACTCGACCTAGGCTGCCTTTAAAATAAAAAGATCTATAGATAAGATCGGGAACTTATCTTCCCCAGATTAGATAAGCGGGGACGCAGAGCTGGGGGTATGGTTCCTGGGCTGGAGGATGGGACTGGGTTTGCGGCAATTGCGCCAAGGGCCTGGGGTGCTATTACGGCGATGGACCGCACGGCGCTGGACCAGCGATGGATGGCGGGCAGAGGTCAAGTTACCGCTGGGCGGCCTTCATTAAATTAAACTTAAATTGCACTATGAAGATTTGGATAATCCGAGGGGGTTTTGGTTCTCCACTGCTGCTTTGGTGGGCAGTTACCGCTGGACTACGGGGACTACCATGGACTACCCTGGCCTGGGAACTGCTCTACGCCTGAAAAATAATGGGCGCACTGACCACAATGGCTGGCATTCCTGGCACTGCTTTGTAATTTACGAGATAATCCTCCGGGCATCACCGCATCGTCAAACGCTTTTGTCGTCTGTGCTTTTCCTTTTCTCTTTTCTTTTTCATGTGCTGGTCAGCCGGCCAAGCGATAGTGGATCTTGCGTCACTGGACTGGAGTCACTTCGCACAGTGCCCAGCCCACTGAGATCTGCCCTTCAACCGGTTTCTTGGCCTCAAAACCGGCCTATAGTTCTCTTCCCCTCTGCTTCAAATCGGTTACTTGTCACCTGGAGATGCCCTTTTCCATTCCGTGTCTCCACATTTGTGGATCTTGTGGCCTGGTGCCTTTATTTCTTTTGCTGCTGCTCGGGTATTGCTTTTGTACCACCGAGCTCATCGCGACTGATGCATCGTCTTATCGCTTTTGCTGAGCAACGTTCGTGCATTTCACTGATAAGCTTTCTGGGCTGTTTTCGATGCAATTGAGTGGCATTGGCCGGTAATTGGTCGGCCATTGGCCACGGCGGCGTGATTGTGCTCTCCCGTCTGGCTCAATTGTAAGGCCACTATTGTGGTGTATTGTGCTTTGCGCTCCATGTGCATCGCCTAAAGGCCCTGGAGCCCGCTAGCGGGCACGGCTCACGACTGGCGGTGTCGCTTAAGCGGGTTTAAAGGCTGTGGCAGGAATTTTGTGTAACTGTGGGTACGGGGATGGTATTGGATGGGTGGTATGGATGGATGGGATGTATGCGAAATGGTTGCAAAAATGTCGCAGGCAGTGAAGCTGTCGAGGGTGATTGGTTTAGGAGGTATTTGGTCAAAAGGGGTGTCAGGTCCATGTTTGACGATATTGGGAGGCGGCTTTGGGGGTAGGAATTAACTAGTATCCTGTGTTGGACTCTGTTGGACTCCGTTGGACCACTTGGTTCGTAGCCTGTCTACCAGGTATCGACTATCACCCTGCGCTACACCTACGAAAACAAAGCCTATTCCCCACAGCTCCCTCAAATTCTCCTCGAAACGCAATTTCAAACAGCCTTCTTTACCACCCCTTGTATGTAACAATTGCCCCCTCCCTCACTTTGCTCATTCCCTAGACACCAGGTGCCATTGTGATCCCCGACATCCTTCCACCACATACCCATACTAACACCACAATCTCTAATTTGAACACCCTCCCCACCACGTCTGTCAAATCACCTTCTATCTCGCCCTGACCTGCCGCTTTCTTGCAAACCTTATTTCGGCCTCCTCCAGAGCCCCCTTCTCTTCTGAAGCTCTAGCATTCCGCGCGAAGGAAGGGAGGTGAGAGCGAGACCGGGAACCCGGTACGGACCCTGACATTTTCGGCTTTGACTGCTCTTAAGATATGGCTCCGTTGATTCCACGGGAAAAGGGGCCCTGAAACTCGTATCTAATGAGGAGACGTCGTGATACCACATCGCCGTGGCATTTTGCACCCAACCTGCCTAATTGGGCTCTAGCCGCTCGCCGGTGGATAGAGGGGAGGGTGACTAAACCTGGAGATATGGAAGACTTATAACAGTGAAGGTGTGACGTTGATTTAGAGGAGGCTTTTTATTTCACGGGGTACCTGAGGGGACCGGACGTGAGGCAGACCCCAGCATGCAATTGAAAAACTAGAGCCAATGTGGGGATCCATGGTCATGGTTGGTGGTTCGTTTGGCTTGTGGGACCAATTGACCCCAAGTGTGTCTTACATGTATTATGGTCGGCTGAATGTTTAGAAAGTCACTGGTTGTGAAATCGATCCATGCCTCCAAGACTGTGCCATTTTGGCAGAACGATTAAAGAAAGAGAAGAGCATCGCTTCCGTTGACTCAGCCAGGATTCAATGGTTAGTGAATGAAATAACCACAGTGTGAAGGTACATATTTGTTATTTGTTTCTTGTTTTTTGTTTTTTTTTTTCTTGCGTTGTTTCTACTATTAAGATTTGTGGACGGCTGTACACATTTGGATAAGCGTATCAGAAACACAGCCCTGATGTACATGTCAGCCAAGGATAAGTGCACCATCAGAATAAGCTTCTCTTCAAAAAAACAACCTGGTTTATGCTTTGCTCAAAATATTTTTCAAGAAGTCGGTTTATTGGTCCAGTTCATGGCCTACTATGCTTGTTTTGTTGATACAATAAGCACAACACATTGACAAAACCCCAGACTTTTCTTGATACATATCACATTTCATCATTTTCTTTGAAGTCTACATTTTTTCCAATCCAAAATATTACCTCAAGTAGAAAAGCAGGGTGGTGTTTGTTTTGGTGTGCTGCAATATATCAACCCTCCTCGCTCCAAACCATCGTGCATCTTGCATTGCGCTAAAGTTTGTTTTGCTCGTAGACACTAACCGATCGAGGCTTGATGTCAGCCACGATGCAACTAATTAGCGACCATCTGAACGCCTACAAAATTTTCACACTAACTATTTTCATTCAATATCAAAACAACATAAGTTTGGGTAATAAGGATCAGTAGAATACAAACTTGGCACGGCCAGAGGTGACTGCAACTGTGCAGCCATCGGTACCGTCACCGTTGTACTTACCGTTCTTGTAGACACACTCACCGTTGACAACAGAGTTGTCGTCGGCCACAATCTTCACACTGTAGTTGGTGTCGTCTCTATTGTTAGGGTTTGGAATCAACGAAAGGTAGGCAATGCCGTTGGTCCAGCCAGCACCAAAGTTCAATGGAGCCCAGTTACCAACACCAGAACCAGCAGAACCCCACAAACAACCATCCTTGTAGCCGATACCGGCGTCGTTGACGTAGTACTGAGCAGAGGTGGACTTGCCTCTCCACTCGTAGTAGGTGTCAGAGTTAACGGTGGTCAATGGAATCTTCTTGCCTGGTCTGGAAACAGTTGGGATAACCATGTTCTCGGTACCTGGGTAGTCGGTTCTGCAAATGGAAACCTCCAGGCTCAACTTGTTCTCGACAACGGCGCTGTCTTTGCCCCACTCACACAAGTACTTGGTGTCCTTGTTGGTACGGTACAACTTGCCGTTCTTACACAACAAACCACCGACGGAAACACCGTTGGATGGCTGGTCAGAAGGCCACTGAGTCTTGGACATACCAGACTGACAAGCGTAAGAGCAGTAAGAGCCCTCCTGGCACTTACCACCGGTGGAGGTGTCACTGTTGTAGATACCAGACCAGCCACCGAAGCCCAAGTGGCTAAGGGAGATCACACCGTTACCCTCAGGGAACGAGTCACAAGAGTGGACACCATCCTCAAACTGGTTGGTTGGGTCGACGTAGTCGGAAAGGTCACCCCAAATACCATTGAGGTCACCAGAAGGAACAGAGCCCGACGACAGAGTGGAAGCACCTGCGGAGGAAGATGGGCTGGAGGAAGTAGATGGCTCGACGTAAGACGAGGTGGTTGGCTCGACGGACGAGAAGGAAGCAGTGGAGGAGGAAGTAGGCTCGGAGGAAGCAGAGGATGGAGTACCTCTGAGGGAGCCGTTGCCGTCTACAGTCACGGTGACGTAGGCATACTCGTAGACAACCTCTCTCTTGTGTTTGTGGTGGACATGGACCTGGGTTGAGGAGCAGTCCTCCTCCCTCTTGTAAGCCGGAAGAGCGGAGGCAACCGAAGCGAAAGCCAAAGAGGCAATCGAAGCTTTAGCGAATCTCATGGCTTGAGGGTTAGTAGGTGAAGCAGAAGCAGTAGCGAGAGAAGGGTAGGCTTATCAACAAAACACGAGGTGACGTGCGTAAACGAACGAGCCACGCCCCGAACAGGAACGCGGGCACGCAAGTGAGACAAGAGGCCTCACTAGGAGATCAGCTTAGAAAACGAGCACCTTGTGGCAGGAGGACAAGCGTTTTTCGCAGCCAAAAAGGAGCTGTTGCATTTCGCGATGTAAACAAAAGCACGCGGTCGACAATGCACCTTGACGCACGGTTGGTGCAAAGTGGCAAAGCCCTGCCCGAAACAGAGGAGCCAGCGGCTGGCAGGAGTGCATGTACATATCCGAGGACTGCAGACACTGCCGATTCGCGCGTTTCCTTGCACCAGCAAACGCGGTGCAAGCTGCTGGCTAATCCTGATTTGGGATCGGATGCGAGAGTGCTGGCACCCGGCTGAAGGGGGGATATCGAAAAATCAGGAGTTGGTAGGAGTCGAGAATGTGTGACATTTGGCAGATGCTCCTTTACGCCTAGCATTCTGGTTTCGGTGAATCACAGAAACGGTACACTACTCGCGGCAGGCTCTGCCAAGGCGCCAAGGGTGGGACCCAGGCACTGTGAAACAAAGCACAAACCGAGGCCCGGGCGGTGCCCAGGCAGGCGATGAGCTGTGAAACGGTTCTAGACCTGAGCCTGTTATCTTGTTTTGCAACTCCAAGGAAACCTGTCAAGTCTAGGCTTTGGAAGCTTCGTTGGCTGAGAGGCCAAGCCGAGACGTGACAGAAGGAAATCCAAATGCCCATGGAGAGCTGTAGATCTGGGAGCCGTAGCAGTTTCAGTGGCAAATGAAGCCTCTGCTGAAACCACACATTCTCATTTCCTCCAAAACCCTCGTACCCAAGTGCCAATAGACACACACCTGGGAACCCCCGAATTTGTTGATATTGGGCTCGGGGAAGCGCCCTTCTCTCTCTAAAACACTTTCTAATACATACTTTAAAGTAAGGAACGTAATTGCCGAAGCAGGGAGTGATCGCAGTTAGTAAGGAATGACAGGTTAAACCGGGACGATGGAGTGGGAAAAAAAGGGCGAGCACAGCTTATATATATGGCCACAACAGTGCTGGGTTGCAGGTTGCATTGGGAAGCGCGAAAGCCTCACCGCAGGCGGCTGCAAGTGATTAATGCAGGCTGCCTCTCACTTGTATGGTTGCAAAAACCAAGAATCCTTGGTACCCACAAGAAAGGGTGAACGCCCATTGACGGAGCATTAGGGGGGGAGAATGGGCCCATCTGAAGATGCTTTAATTACCTGCTTTTCCATTGTAAAGAGCCCCATCGCCGGTTAGGCGCAGCATCGGCAACATGCCACCATGGGCAACTTTCCGCAGGCTGTACCATGTGTTTTGCTTCTGTGGTGGACTTGTCATGGCAGGTATCCTGGAGTGTAGTGTCCCTTTTGTCTAGACCTTTGATGTTGCATCCTTGGCTCGAGGACGGGGAGGCACGGGAAGGGACGGGGACGTTGGTGATTTCTTGACGTAAAAGGAGTCGACGTGGGTGTACCACTGCGATGGGCTGGGCATTGGGTCTAGAGCACACACCCCCAGGTAGTCTTCTCAAGCTACTTCTCTACTTGGCAATTTTCATTGATCTGGCTCCTATGTCTACTGAGCTGATTTTAATAAAAGATGTTTCTGCAACTTCACCGCTCCGTTTCAACCTCATCAGCCGGTGTCTCATCAACCGGTGTCTCAACTGTCATGGATCCGCCAGCAAACCCCTGGCCTCCGCTTCATTGTCACTCAAAATCCCCAAATCCCAGCTTTCGTCTAAAATTCCCCAGATGCTCAGCTGGCTATCAGCTGGCAGCGGCGTAATGCTTTGTTGCCTCGTGGGGCTCGAGACATCGCAACAATCAGGCTGCGAAATGCTGGTCGCTATCCAGATCACCGTCAGAAGCCGAGGAAGCTAAATGGGCTGATCCAGAGTGATCCCCCAAAGAGGGCCCTCTATTTTCACTAAATCGCCTTTTGCTCTCCCAAATTGCCAATTGCCAAGTAGCGACTTGTTCCTCAGAGCTACACCCAGAACAACACCTTGAACTAACTACCATTCCACTCACTGACTACTCGGCGGCTGGCCTCGACACGGCTTACCCTTATGATAAGCTCCCTGTCATTCTCGAGGCTTCATTGTTGCGTCGCTGGTTCGGAGGAGGCTCAATGGTGGCACATTTGCGCATCGATAAGGCTCTCTCTATGGAGCCATTTCCACACGCAAAATCTTGAACTCTCAACTCGTAGTCTCAACTCTACCTCCTCTCGCTGTCCCGACCCTGGCCCAGACTCACCGTAATCGGCCAACGGGCCATGCAGCTGCACCACCGCCAAAACAGCTTTCAAGTGTGCTTTTTTCCAAAAGATCTAGGGAATTGCCTCTTTGGAAACCGCCGTTGACGTCAGAAGGCTTTTGCATCTTTGCGTATACCTTGCTCGGTTTGGCCGTGCTGGTTTTCCCTTTTCGCAGCCACAACCAGCGAGCAACGGTTTCGCAGCCACTACCGAAAAAACGCTCCAAGGCGAATCACAAAATGCCCCTTGACGTCAGAATGTAAACAAACTGTTTTGTTGATTTGGAAGTTGGTTTTTCTCTGACAACTTGTTTATGGATGATGCTCCGAAAGCACCCCGGTCAGCTTTTTCTCAGTGGGGAATGCTGATGACCACATACATTCCGGTGACGCAGGGTGGCTGTCAAGTGCTACTCTGTGAGTGAAGCATAAGCCACATTCTGTCGACGATGATGTCGATTTACGTAAACAGATTTTAGTGGCCAAGACTGGCTGCCAGCGAAACCGGACTGGTTCGCCGATCTTTGGGGCTTGACCCTGGTGTTTACTGTATGGCCGTAAACGGGTCTAGAGGTCAGTCAACCATGTTGATGTTTGGGCACATAAACCTTTGGTATCTTTTTGGTGTCTTTTGTTAGTTGGCTTTCAGAACTTTCTTATATTTCTTTATGTCATGTCTTTATAATCCTGAAGGTTGACACCGATTTAGACTTTTAGCTTGAATGGCTGCGAATTACAGATAAACCATGATTCGAGCCGAGCACAGAAAATCCAATTTACACAAATCAAACGACATTATTGGTTCTCCTCTGTTATTTCGAGAAAAGCTTTACCTATAGATGTTGAATTCCCCACTCCCGGCTCTGGGATCTGATTAGCTTCCTCTGCTTGAAGAACCTCTTGACACCCGTGCACCGCTTCCCCAGGCTCATCGACCTCATCGCGATAGTTACATACTAAAGCATAGCATGAGTGTGGAGTCTGAGGTCGATCACACGAACCACACAGAGATGAAAAAAGAGAACAACATTTCTGTTGACTCTCAAACAATTCCAAATGTGGAGAGTAAATTGGACGGAGATGTTCAGGGAACCACGAAGACCGAGGTGAATGAGCCTGAGGTTGAATCAGGTGCTGCAACTGCCGAGGCCAACGAGGAAAGCAACCCATCTCCTGAAGCAATGAATGGTGTCGATTCTTCTCCTCAGGAAGCAGAAGTCCAGGCTATGGATACAAAGGCTGAGGAAGTCAATGAGGCAACTGAGGAAGTGAAAGAAGAACTTCCGAAGGAACAAGAACACAACGATGATACTACCGCCGGCCAGACCGAAAACGGAGACACGGAAGCTGTAAAAGTTGAGGAACCCCAAACGGAAACTAGCAAGTCTGATGACGGGGAAGTGGACCACGAGAAGAAGGTCCAGGAATTCATGAAAAATGACGAGGAGATCAAGCACTTCTCTGACGACGAAATCAGCATCGAGGGATCCTCCAGTGACTCAGATTCTGATTTGAGCTCTGAATCCTCGAGCTCCTCGGACTCTAGTGATTCTGAGCTGGATGCTGAGGAGGACAACCAACAAGTGGACGATCTTGATGACGAGGAAGAGGCATCCGGAGGTCCAATTGTCTCCAAGAACGAAATGGATGAAAAAGCCTTCAGTCTTCCGGAAGACTATAAGGTTCCCGAAAATGCTCCTCTTGAATTTGTGGGCAACTTGACCAGCTTAGTTGAGAAAAATGCCATTGTCAAAGCTAACATTTCTGGTGAGTTCCGTGTTCTCAAAGATCAATCCGTCTTATGTTTTGAGGACAGACTGGTTTTGGGCCCGCTCTTTGAGACGTTTGGAAAGCTACAAGCTCCCCACTACCGAGTCAAATTCAACACTGACGAAGAGTTCAATGCTTTGAAAGAGAGGAAGGGCGAGAAAGTGTTCTATGTTGTTCCCGAATCCCAATTTATTTACACGGACGCTATCAAAAAGCTTAAAGGAACAGATGCCAGTAACTGTCACGATGAAGAGCTTCCAGAGGAGGAGCAGGAGTTCTCTGACGATGAACAGGAGCTTGCTGCTAAGCAGCGCAAGAAGAAAAAGAAGAAGGCTAAGGACTCAAAAGATGGTCCTCAGCCAAAGAAGCAAAACACAAACCCCGAACCTAATAAGTTCACATCGTATGGCTTCGCTCCTTCTCAAACTTCTTACGCTGGTCTCCCTAGAGTGCCTCCAAGGAACAATCAGTACAATCGCCAAACACCCCCAGTTCAACAGCCACCAATACAGGCTCAACAGCTATCTCCAGCATACGGATCACCAAATCCTTACGGTGTCCCAATAAGCCATCAGCAGCAATATGCCCCAAATCCATACCAGGGTTATCAACAGCAAGGTATGATGCCTCAGGTCCCTCAATACCAACAGCCACAAACCCCATACGGTTATGGACAGCCATACTGGCCTCAAGGACAACCACAGGTTCATCCACAGATGTACCCCCAGCCAACGTACCAGCAACCACAACAACCCCCTCCAAACTACCAAATCCAGCAACAACAAATCCCACAAACTCAACAACAGCCTGCTCCTCAGCAAGCGAATGCATTATACCAGCTTCATGCCCTCGTGGCTAACCAGCTCAATCAGCAAGACCAAAATCCGCATACTCAGCATCCGCCTCAGGGCCCCCCTCAATAGAATGTATTATAGTTTAGGATCGCCAAGAAGCTTCAATGCTCTTTCGGCGTGTTTTAATGAATGCTCAGGAAACCCAGCTAGTTTTGCAACTTCAAACGCATAAGATCGCTCGCTAATGCCAGGCTCTAGAGTGTGATCAAACGTAATATTTGGCAGTCCCTCTTTCGTTTGGACTTTCGTTCTGTAGAAACGCACATTAGATTGAGAAACTTTATCCGTGTCAAGCAATTTCTTGAGCTCAGCACCAAAGTGGGTAGCAAAAAGAGTACGACACTTATTAGTTTGGAGCAAACTGACAAGCGCAGCATACGATATAGCCAATCCTTCTCGGCCGCTCGTGCCTCTTCCGATCTCGTCCACAATAGCCAAGGACCTGGAAGTAGCATTGCTCAAGATATTACTCGTCTCGATCATTTCAACCATGAATGTGCTGAGATCACTGAAGATGTCGTCAGACGCACCAATTCTGGTGAAGATTCTATCCACAATCCCAATATTTGCCTTTGCAGCAGGAACGAAGCAGCCAATCTGTGCCATGATCACAATCAAGGCATTTTGTCTGAGGAAAGTACTCTTTCCACCCATGTTAGGCCCTGAGATCACCCAAAGATTACCATCGGGGCCTAATTTCGTGTCATTAGGCGTGAACATCTCTCCATTAGTTTTGAGACCAACTTCAACGACAGGATGTCTTCCTTCCAGAATATTGAGGTAATTTGACTTCACAAAATTAGGGCAAACGAGATTGTTATCTCTGGCAAGGACTGCAAAGGACGAAGTAATGTCTATGAAGTCAGCCATTCTGTTGACTTTTCTGATGGACAAAGTCTTTCCAAGCACGGCCGCTTTGAGATTTTCAATTATCGCCTTTTCCAATTCCTCAATTTTATGAACGATAGTGTTGCGCAGCTCTTGTAGCCTGGACCATTGGGTGGGTTTATAAATCAAGGTTGTCTTCTTTCTTTCTCTCACTTCGCCGTTCTTGTCAATATGATTAGCAATGTCTGCAGACATCTTCAGACGACAAGATATATGAATCACGTCAAAGTACCTACCCACTTGATCTTTCTTTGTGACAATGGCCTTAGGATCGATAACTGCGACATTCTCCCTCACACCTTGCAACAACTCTAACTCTTCTCTTTGGATTTTCTCTAGGGAATCATGAAGCTTGCTTAATTTAGGATCATGATCTCGCTTCACATTGAAGACGAAGATGGGGCTGGCTTGCTCCTTATCTGTAGCTTCATTCTTATAATCACCGATCGCTGTCAGGGAGGAACCCAACAGATCACTCAACAGATAAGCGACTCCCTCATCCACAAGCTCTCTAGCATTTGCTAGAACAGGATCTGTGTATAGAGTATCGAGTATCTCGTTGGATATATCGATGGGTACTTGAAAATCATCAATGAAATCTTGCAACTGCTTACTTCCGTGCTCGTTCTGCAATTCAACAAGTATGGCCTTGAGCTTCTCTTGTTCGGCAAGAGCCTCTCCGATCGCCAAAAGATGTGATACAGAGGGGCCTGCCTTGAGGGCTAATTTCTGTAGTGATCTAATGGGATCACCTAGTCTAGTGAGCTGGTGCCTGATTCTCATGAGGTAAGTCAGAGATCTTCCAAAATGCTGCGTAAACGACTGCCGATTTTTGAGTTCTTCCGTATCCAAAATTGGCAGTTTGAGCCATTGTGTGAGGAGACGAGTGCCTGAGGGTGTTACTGTTTGCTTGATCGTGTTAAGGAGTGTACCAACTGTCGAGTTCAGTCCGCTACTCAGACGTTCAGTTAGCTCTAAAGCATCTCTGGTTCTTGAGTCCATGTGAAGATACTTACTGCTGAAATATTGCTGAGGTAAATCAAGCGACAATGGTCTATCTGGTAGGTTGACATTAATGTAAGAAAGTACCATGTTCATGGCACTCTCTTCACGAACAGTGAAGTCCTCTAGTTTCTTCCTAATCGTTTGTAAGTTTGATTTCAACTGCACCTTATAGTCGCCATACGTTATTTTGTGGTACCTCACAAAGTACTTTCGAAGGTTGGCCATCTCAGAAATCCAGTCAATCACCTCACTTTTATCCTGGTACTCTTTGCTCAAGATAACTTCACTTGGACTTACTCTATTCAAGTCAGACGCAAGATCAGCCATGGTTGTTTCCTGAACATGAAACTCGCCCACTGATATGTCTATCCACAGAAGACCTATAGGTAGGTCCGGATTGGGGCCTTGTGACGCTTGAGGCGGGATTGAGATGGCAACCAAATAGTTATTTTTTGAAAAATTTATGAAACTTTCATCCACTAACGTCCCTGGAGACACAATTCGTGAAACTTTTCTATGCATTATAGTGTCCGTGTTTGTCAGGTACTGGTCTATTACAGCAACATTGACCTGTAAATCGTGCACAAGCATTTTAACAAACTTTCGAAGATGACCCACGGGAAACCCTGCCATTGGTACACTGTGGTTGTTTGTTCTTTTGATAGCCACCTTGATACCCAATTTGGGTGCAACCAAAGTCGCTTGCTCAAAGTATAGTTCATAAAAGCTGCCAACTTGGATGAGACAGACACAGCCTTTATTGGCATCTATTAGCCGTCTCATTGACAGAAGAAGAGGTGTCAATGCATTTTCTTTCGTCTGGCCTCCTCTATCCCAATCTGGGGGATCTAATATGTTCTCTAGTTTAGGTGATAAGTCACCTTCAGTGGCCAATCCACGCCACAGATTGAAAATCGAACTTGTCTTTCCATGTCTGGTTCTCAGAATGAAGGAAACTGCATTTCGATGACATAGGTACCGGGATCTGGGTCTTAAGCTGGATCGTAGGATCGCGTGAGTATGCATGGGTATGGATATGAACTTATGCTTATGCAATTATGTCTTTGAATAATGTGGTATTAGAATGCCATATGTAGCAAATGTATGAAGTAGCTCTGTCTTGATGTGAGTTTGTAGTCGATCTCGCTAAGCTTGATTTCCAAACTGATGTCTCCTGTCTGCACCACTATCGCCTCGCGTCTCAACGCTCTATATACATTAATGGGTGCAAATTAGTTCAAGTAGCCCTTGCATCCAGGAGCACCACACAAACAGCGAATTCTCTCGGCATCGTTCGTCTCTCTCTCGAACTTGTAATCGTAGGTAAGCTCCTCGTTGGCGTCTATGTCACGAAGCGCGTAGATGACGATTCTCTTCTTACCATCCACCTTGATGATTTTGGCAGTACAACTAGGGTTGCAGCAGTGGTTGATGAATCTGGCAATACCTCCCTTTTTGGTTGCGTCAATGACCACGTTCTCATCAATTCTGAAAAGGTAAGAAGATCCAATACCCGTCCTGAGATAACTCTTTTCCCTGTGCTCGGCCACCTGCTGTCTGATACTCTCTCCAACGTACTCAATGATCATTTCTTTAGCTGCAATAGGCTCAAGAGCGAAAAGACCCCAGTTATGAATAGCAGATCTGGCGAACGAAACAGGCTTTTTACGCTTGTTCAAGGCGTTCAAGTTGAGGATATCGGACTCTGTACTCAAGATCTGCTTCTGAGCACTGATGTCGGCTGCAAATCTTCTGTTGTTGGCACGGTTCACACGTGAACTCTGTACACCGCTATTCGAAGTACCACCGGATGCATGCTCTTCCTCATCGTGCTGAACAGTTTTAAGCGGCTTGTGGATCTTTCTTCTGTAAGGCAAGTACTCGATTTTGTCTGCATCCGCAATCTTTCTGTATCCTTCGCTTTTGAAAGAACCAGTGGAGCACTCCAAACGATCGCTGAGAACCCCAATAGACTCTTCCTCGGAAATGATAGCCTTGGACAGTTCCTTCTGCTTCCATGCCCAGTACTCGGGATGTTTGACCACTGCAGGTGTAATGTCTGCGAGCACCTTACGTGCCAACTCCATGTCTTCGTCGTCGCGTACAACACTTTCCAATCTGTGCAAATCAAATAGACTACCAGCCTGCTGCTCAACCTCTTCAAATACTGGGACTGGAGCTGTGGTTTCGGTAGGTGCATAGAGCTCATCAACCTGCTCAACGCGATCCTCTTCCTCGGGTTCAATCTCCATAGCCTCAGCTTCGACACCTTCCTCCTCTTCTTCTGAAGTTTCGTCGTACATGAAGGTCTCCCGAAGCTTGGAGGACTTGTGCTTTTTGGATGGGGCTTCGTCATCTTGTGAAGTAATTGTCAGTGATAATTCCCTCTTCATAGATGGTGCAGGTGTAACAGAGCGGCTTGAATCTTCTTCGTCGGAAGCATCTGAGTCTTGATCAGCGTAGTTCAATGCATGCTGCATTGGCAACATGCTCTTCATTTTCTTCAGCTTGCCCTTAGGCGAGGCACCGATTTTTTTGGTGAAGCTGGGAAGCATCAAGACACGATCATTATTTGGGTCACCTTTCTTTGTGTCTTTACGCCTGTCTTGTAGGAACGAGTAAGAGCCACTACTTTTGGCTTCTTCTTCCTTCTTCTTCTTCTGTGCGAGCTCTTCTTCTTCCTCTTGTCTCTTCTTCAAGTCTGCCATGAGCTCAGGGTAGTTTGTAGGAGCAAGGAGATCAAGAACAGTAGGAGCAATGACTCTCTCTCTGATGTCCTTGCTCAAGAACGTCTGGAACTCTTTAATGAGCATATTTGTAGCCTCGTCAACAACGTCGTGTCCGCTTCCATGGCTCTGAGCTACCCTCGAAGCAGTCTTTTCAGGATCAAAGTGTTCCGGAACACAAATCTCCATAAACATTCGGTACTCAAAGAACCGTAGACCGTCTTCATACTTGTAGCAGCGGTAACACTCCTTGAGAGAGTTGAAGACCACGTAAAAACCTAGCTTGTCCGTGAGAACTCTAGTCCAATCATACTTCATCAAGATTTTCTTAACATCTTGCGACGAGATCTTCTTTACTGGGACAAACAGATCAGCAATGAAGATGAATGGACGATCTTTCACGTACTTGACAAGCTCGTCAGGAATCGAACAACCCTCCACGACCTTGTTTCTATGCACCTTGGACTTGGTTGTAGTGTTATTGCTCGGAAGCAGGCCCTCGTATGGACTTCTTGTCTTTTCAGTGGCATCTTTTCCTGTACTCTGAGCAGCCTTCTCCTTGCGTGCCTCTCTGGCCTCTTTTTTCTTCTTGATCTCCAGTAGTCTCTTTTCTGTCTTCTCTCTCTTGAGTCTTTCAACGTGTAGTTGACTCTTGGCAACCTTGATTTTTGCGTTGAGTAAATGACTATCAGTATCGTTGAGGGCAATTTTTAGATTGACACCGTCGATCTTGGGCTCCTCTGCGCGGATACGCTTGATAAGAGCTTTTGCGATTCTCGACGACTTTTCTAGGTTACCCTGGAAAGAGAACGTGGCTATTCCAAGCGGAACTGCATTTGTGGAGTCATTCAAAAACTTCACATCTTTGACTTTATCGCCGTAAGCCTCGAAAAAGTTGGTGAAGTATACCTCGGTGATAGTTGTCGGAAGGTCCCAGACGACCAATTCAGTGAGAGGCGGCAGCCCTAGGGAGTCCTTATCGTAAATGAATCGTGGTTGAGGTAAATGCTTGAATTGCAACTTTTTGGATGCCTTGTTGGGCTTGGAGAAGTAGTTGTGTATGCCCATCTTCACTCTGGGGTCCGATGGAGGGTTCTCATGGTGCTCTGTCTGGAAACGAAACTTCTTCGAGTTATGCTTTCGCTCGGCCTTCGGGAGGGCCAGGTCGAGCTCTGGATCATATGTCACACGATAGTTCTTCAGTATATCGATTGGACTCAGGAAAGGTCGCAGGTCGAGATGCGAGATGTGATGAAGACACTGCTCGAACTTTGCGTCCACGGGGTTTTCACCCGTGACTGTGTTTGTGCCCGAAAGCTTGATCTCGTTTCTGGAGTATGAATCCGATGCACTATGTGGAGGTGTGGAGACAGTAGAACCCATTTCGTCGTACAGTCTGCCGTTGCTATACCTCGCCTTTGTGTGATTTCTAAAACGGGCTTCCGAGGGCAGCGTCTGTACCGACAGTTCAGGCGTGGGATTCCCATCTGATGCTACTTTTCTGTATGGATCATGTCTCGAGTCCAGCGAGCCCGGTCCCCGTGGAGCACGGTTTCTATCGTAATGCGGCAGCCTTACCAGGGAGAATTTGCCGTTCGGGTAGCCTCCGTGGCTGGAAGAGCCACCAGGGGCCCCATACCGCTTTCTATGTCTATGGCGGTTGAAAGACATACGGGGTTGATGGGGCGTGTTTTGCGTTTTTTCGATGACGGATCCGCTGATTGGTCAAGCCTCAAATATACACGTATAATGCAAAAAATCGAGTCCTCCTGGGTGTGGTGAACACGGTAGTTGGGTGGGATCCAGTCTATCTTGAGTAGTTTACTGTTGAAGAAGTATGCACATCTTGCGCGTAGTGAGAGTGTCGGTGTGTATACAGACTTCACCGGTCTGGGGCTGATGCTCCGAGAAGGTCCAGCAATTTCGTGATTGTGCTGGGGAATGTTCAATATTTTTTGGGTTTTTAAAAAAGATTTGGCTATTTCGTGGGATTAGTAGAGGAGAGATTTAAAAATTGTTCCTGTATGTGCAGATACGTTGTAGTGTCCTCGCTATATAGGTATGAGCGGCTTTCGCAGCCAACCGTGTATTATCTAGTAAGTCGAACCACACTTTTCAGGTTAATCTGAAGAAAAAGCCGAAAGCTCCTTTGTTGTCATCCTTTCTCGTATATAGCAGCCCTCCATAGAACTACAAAGGCAACTATCCAAAATTACAAAGGCTGACGTTCCATGACCAAAGTGGTTAAACTAACCCTACTGAGGGCCTGAATCCCCCCAAACTACAACAAATCTCTCGATATATGCTATTATTGTACAGATGCATCACATCACTTCGTTCTGATGTGCTTCAAAGGGCCCGCAGAGTGGAAGAAGTTCATGGCGTACTCCTTCTTTCTGAAATGTCTCTCCTTGGGCTCCTTGACGTAGTATGACCAGCCCTGGCCCTCGGCAAATCTGATAGCAGCCTCCTTGGTGTCAAACTTCATGATGGTGCCTTGCATGTAGTCTCCACTCGACTGGTAACCGATCAAGTCGTTTTCCCATCTGTTCTCTTTGCCCAAAACGTCCCAGTCCAACTTCCAGAACTTACCGTTGTGGC